CGTAATTTTATACATAGAGTGTGTCTAAAATCATCATCGTTATAAATGGAAACCTAAAATGTATTGATTTTTTTTCTGAAAATGTTGAATGATCATTTTTGATAAAAGTTTTTGTTGTTGAACTACAATCGAACTTTCAATGCTTCCGGTCATTTCACCGCAAAATCGAAAAGGAGTGTAACAAGTAAAATGCCGAGATATAACATAGCTGCTGGGGGTGCATTATCCTTCTGTCTGCATCGCGATGCACTTTCTTCAACGTGCCGATTCAACCATTCGATAAGCTCAGTCAGCGAAAATGCTTCGCTTTTGTTACAACGGCGGGTTCAATCCTTAGACGAGAAGTGCATTCTCTCGCACTGTCTTATACGCGTTTCTATACTTGAAAGTATATATGTATGTATTATATCTTTTACTCAATCTTGTACATATATATACTGACTCATGCATATATATGCATACATATATAGCGTGTCCTATGTAACACTTTTCATGATTTTTCAAGTACTTGCGATAACCTGACAAAAAAGTATTTTCAACAAATTTGATCAGTTTTTGATTGGCTATACATTATATATACAAAATGCCATTTTAACATTATTATGCAAGTTCAGTTAAAGACAATATTTTCGGTGAATTTTTTCTTCATAGAATTTATAAAAATTTAGCACGTGAATTAAATAATTTATTTACCAAAATAATAAAAAAGTAAATACTATTACAAGAATCGTTTTATTATCGTTCCAACGTTTTCTGATTTGTATAGAAATTTTTAAACACAAACAGAAAGTAATACTACACAAATTGTTTTGATTGATACAGAAAATAAATAAAAAGAAAAACTATATACGCGAATGGAATAATTGAAAAAAAAAAAGAAAAAATAATAAACAGAGAAGGACACTGTTACACGCAATATCCCAAAAAATTGTTTTGTTGTAGTTTTGAAAAAAATAAAAATGATTTTTACAAAATATTGTGTTGCACGAAATATCGAGAATGAAAAATAATCAGTCATACTTTTTATGGTTTTATTTCCTTTTTTTGTTTTCTTTTTTTTTCGAATTGATCGTAGTGCGACAACAAAAAAGGGTAGGAAATAATAAAAATATCTGGAAAAGAAAAATAATAGTTGGTTGGTGTCGAAGTTCTACTTAATCATTAGAACGTACGAAGGTTTCTTTTCTTTCTCTTTTTCTCTCTCTCTCTCTCTCTTTCTCTCTCGTTCGCATGGGAGAATAAAAAAGAACCTGAGAAAGAAAACAACATTTCATACTATGGCTTTAGTTTCGTAGAATCGCGTGCACCATCATTGTTATAGCTTCGAGGCAAAGTAAAAATGCTGCGTAATTTGCACGGCTGATTATGATCCAACCCAAGTTGCTAGCTCCATCTTTTTTGTTTCTCTCTTTCTCTTTCTTCTTCTCACAGACACACACATACATATATACCTAAATACATATATACATAAGAACATGGTTCCTCTTTCTCTTTATGTCTCTCTTCGCTCTCTTCTCTCTCTCTCCCTCTCTCTCACACACGTATTCTAGTTTCATTCTTCTTCATCTCTATTTCTCTCTGGTGAACCGCCATGAGAATACAATGTGCACGTTATTACACGCATTAATACTCTTCCCTCTCATTTCGCGTTACCTCTCATTTTTCCTTCTAGAAAATTATTATATTATTTATTTTTTCATTTTCTTTACCTGTCTAAAACTTGAGCAGAGTCAAGGTAATTTGTAACATTTTTTTATACGTAGAATTACATATATACATATATATATATATATATGTTATATGTTATTTCAGAGAGATCTTTCGAAAATTTAAAAGATAAGAATTTTTAAAAAATAAGAATAAAATAATGTAATAAAATTAAACTGCAACTTAAATGGCTAGAAGAAAAAAAAAATAGAAAATTTAATTTCTCTACTAGAAACACGTTGTTTCTCTTATGTCGTTTCAATACATGATACATGTTATTATTTTTATAATTATTTAACATATATTTCTATTCGAATTAAAATAAGATTTTTTTTTCTTTACGCTAATACGATTTTAATGGAATTTTAAAGATTTGTAATAAAAAAAATATCAAACTACATTAATATTTTTCATTAGAAGAAAATATTTGACTTTCACATTACGACATAAATTAAATATTATTAGTTATTTAATTATTATATTTAAATGTTCATTAAAAATAGCAAAACATTTTTATTCGTTAAAAATATAAAAAATATTTTACTTAATGAAAAAATAAAAACAGAATGAAAGATGATCTAATTGATTTTTCGTATATAAAGTTCGGTTGTAACTTTATTCGAATTCTACGTTCACATTGAACATAGGACGTTGTGAATTTTCTTTTTCTTTTCTCGTAGCTTTTACATTAGACCGTAGGACAGTACAGCCAAATTTTATGGCAGCTCGCAAGTAAAGAGCAATAAATTTACTTCTTACCACCTCAACGCAGACTTTTCCTCTCGTCGCTTCGCATCCTACTACATGTTCGTGATACTGTTACTATGCTCCTACATTACATTATCTGTCTATTTTTTTTTTGTCTGGAGAGAAAAAGAGAGAAAAGAGAGAAAGAATGACACGATAGTAAAGCTAAAAAAGAAGAAAGAAAAGAAAATAACATTCTGTCGAGTAATGAGTTACATTTAATTTTTTTTTTAACATATATTAGTTGTTTGTATATTTATATTTATTTATTAGAACGGCATATTTTAACGATTAGCATTACAAGTATTTTGTAAAAATAAATAGTCAGTATATTTGAATATTGTTCGGTAGAAACAATTTCTTTGTTTACCAAAATTCGTTGTAAATTTTATTTTTTGTCATCATTAATATCGATACATCTTATTTTTAAATATTTTCTAATATTAACTTTTATTAAAATACTGACAATTTATCTAATACTGATATGGAATATTAATGAATAATATTTTATTATAAATACTGACTAACTTTTTATTTATAACATAATTACAAATATTTCAAACTATTCGAATCGATAAATATTAACTTTTATTTTGTCTTATTTTAATTATATGCGACAAATTTGTCATAATTCGATTAATATTTTAATTATGGGTTTACTCGAAGAATTTTTTCTTTTCTTATTCCTTTTTTTTCGGTAGTAAAGGCATTAATTTGTTTTTTTTTTATTTTTGTAGAGAGAAAAAGAAAAAGAGAGAGAGAGAGTCAATCCCACAGAGCGAATTCTTTTTCTTAAAATATTTGTTTCGTGCTCAAAGCGGAAATAAAAGTGGAAAAGCTTAGAAGCTACGGATTTATAACTCCGACCTCTTCTAAATCCGGTAATGCGAGTAGACCCTTGGCAAGCACGTAGACTCCCGAGGATTAACCGAGAATATTATTCACAAAAAAGTCACTTTCATTCTTAGTACAACACATTGCTTATATCTTTGGCTAAATGTTCTGACCTTCCAACCCTTGTTCTAGTTTTGAAAAACCATAACCAATAATATATCAATCCTTTATATTTTATTATTCTATATATATAAAGTAACTCAAAAGTTATTGAATAATTTAAATAATCGAACAATTGAGCTCATAATTAAACAATTATAAACTTACCTTAATTAATTTGTAAAATTCAACGAAATTTTTAACACATTTTTAACCTTATCCTAATATCTATCTAAAATTATTATCAACAATATAAAATATGAAGTTCTTATCGATAAAAAAAAATTATATATTAGTTAAAAATTCTTCCTGGCAAAAATTTCAAAAGCACTACCGGTTCCATTACAAAACCAATGTACTTTAATACGCGAGTTCAAAGCACGTGCAATTCCATTAGAAAATAGAAAAGGTAGAGAGAAAAGAAGAGAACAAGTAAAGAAAGAAAAAAAAAAAAGAAGAAAAAGAAGAGAAAAGGAAAAGAAAGAGAAATAAGAAAGTAAAAAGAAGGTCAACATAGTATCAGGATAGGATCATTTTTGTAGAAACGAAAGATCGTTGAGAGAGAGTTCACGTTTCCTATCGATGTTACAGCTGATACTGTATTGGTCAGAAGGGAAATGATTCGGGTAGGGATAAAAAAAGGAGTACGGGGTAGGAAGAAAGGGTTCATACTAGCTGCACTAGTCGTGCTTGGCATCAGTAATGAAGGTAACTCTGATCTTGGCCGATGTAATTACAGGAAAATTGCTACCGCATTGTGAGCCCACCACTGGCTCTTCGACAGACTCCTATACACTCATGCAAAACACACCTATATAAATATACACGTATACATATATATATATATAGTAGATATATAGTCGACTTATATACATCGAATACTCGTGTAAGCGAAATACACCAACGTAAACTGAATTATCGTGGGAGTAATAATGGCGTTGTACCGATCTTCGATCAGTTTATACTCGTGGATAGAATGCCACACACGAGTGCTTCGAATGCACCTATTGGATTTCTCTCTTTCTCTTTCTATCTCTTTCTCTTTTCCTTTATTTCTCTCTTGTGTATTTATATACACACAATATATATACTGTATATATATACTATCTATATTTGTATATGTTTGTATATATATATATATTTAATCGCTTACCAGACCACCCTATTTCGACTGTGGCTGGACACGAAAACGGTTGTATCATGTTGTAACTGCTACATTGATGTCGATAACATCGCCGTTAACTCAATTAATTTGAGATAATCCTAATCAGTAATTTTACTCGTCTCTTATTGCCAAACTCGTAATGTAGCTTACATTTCCAATCAATTGATCCTATCGATTCAATCAATTTATATATGTATAATATATAAATCCTGTTTTTTTTGTCCTATTATATTTCGATATTATTCGATCAATCGTTATAAAAGATTTTCTATTCTGAAGCAAATTGTTCTTGTTATTTGGGGTTATATTTTTTTAGTTAATTAAAAATAAAAAACAATATTGAAACTCTATAAAATTATTTATTTGACTATTATTTTCTTATTTTCAGATCGATGAAACTCTCGTGTTAGAAGGAAACTCGTTGATGCTAGGATACGAACGAGATTTTATTAGATCGACGATGAAGAATGTGACGAATCCTGTCAGGATTTTTCTACTACGAGTAAGAAGGTGTTAAGGTAATGAAGAAAAATTTAAGAAATATTATTGCATTAATCTTTATTATATAATATATCTTATTTTATATATTTATTATATATAATATATCTTATTTATTATTATTATGCTTAAAGATAGATCAAAAGCTCCAAGATTTTTTGTTTTACAAATTAAACAATAAAGAATAATCTAAACCAAATTCAATTATAAATAAAATCACCCAAGATCTTCTGTAGCAACAAAAATATTAACAAGATTACAAATGAATTGTTATTTAAGAAAGTATTACTATTAGTTATGGAAGTGGGGGGGGGGGAGAATATTTACAATAATCAATTGAATTGAAGATTAATCCAGAACTCGTAACCTTTCAAATTTCTTGAACTTCGTGTCTAGGTTCGTTAAGTAGTCTCCAAAGTTTCAGGGACTTTAAGGAAAGAAAAAGAGATATAGATATATAGAAAACGAGATAAAGATAGATATATAGAGATAAAGATAGAAAGACAAGCAGATCCAAGTTGGATTCCATTCGATTCTGAATTTTTCCAATCTTCTCGAAGGATTAAACCTTCTTATGGAACATGATTCACCTGGCGCAATGGCGATCTTGTTCACCAAGACTGGATAGAAAGAAATGAAGAAGAAGAAGAAGAAAAAGATCCAAAGCTAAGACGGATTAAACGAACGACCAAGTAGTACTAAAATTCGAAGAATGTGAAAGATAGGTTAAAGAAAAAATCCGATTGATTAATTGAGAAAAATAAATTTATTTCGGTAAATGTAATAGCTAATTTAAACAAATAAAGTAGAAAATGAAACAATAATCGCCGTTTGATATTAAATTATATCAAATATAAACGAATTATTTGATTTTTAAATAAATTTTATTTGATAATATTTGTTAATAAAATTATTATTAAAATTATTTAATTCTAAACGAATATTTGATTTATTAAACAAAATGATTTAAATCAAATTCGGATAGAAAGTGGGAGTCAAATTTATTCAGTCAGAAAATAAATAATTGAAATTAGATTTTGTTTATATAACAATAACATCCAGATAATTAAAATATGAAGAAATAAGGATTGAAAAGAAAAACAAAGGAATCATCGAAATGAATCTAGAACGAGTAATAAATTCTGTATAGAAAAAAAAAAACCAGAAAAAAATTACAATTTCTGTCTAGTTCATAAGAAGCAAATAATAAATTTATTAGAAAGAAATGCTCTCACAAATTAAATATAAATTGGATGAACATAGAGGATTTATAGTTTTTCTTTAGCAAATATAGAAAAATATTCGATAAAGGAAGGAATTAAAAGAACAGAATGAAGGAAGGAAAAGAAATATATCATCCAAATGGATCTAGGACGAGTAGTCCAGTATCTGGATATGAAGAACGGTGATTGTCTAGCCTGAAGGCAGCAAGTAGAGAGTTTGCTGAAAAGCTCAGTGTCTCACGAACACCACCCTCTACCTCCCTCCCCCACTTCTTCTTTCTTCTTCTTCTACTTCTTGTCTCTATCTCTCTACTTACTTACAGTATTTTTTCCTTCCTTCGTTTTCCTGAGAATGGCAAAGTCGTGGAACGCCCTTTAATTTCCGCCAGAATGCTCTTTTAGAAGGATCATTATTTTGTGTCCAGATTTCGAGGTCTTATGTTAGATCGAGAAAAGGTTATTCGTGACGTATTAATCGTTCAATACCGGAACACGATATTAGCTTTTCGGAGATGATTAATATTTTTTCTTTTTTTTATTAATTTTCCAAAAGTTTCTAAGATTTCTTTTTAAAAGTCAATCGTAAAATGAATTTCTTTTTTCGCATAGTTCTTTTAAATCAAATAATTATTTCTATCGTCGCAATTTCGTTACATGAACAAATGTAATTATTTTTTTTTTTTTAAGAAATTTCTGTCAGAGTTGTTAAAATATTTGTATTCTTGCGAATGAATAATTGTATTATTCGGATATAAAATTCTCACAAAAAGTTTATTCAATTATTAATATGATCCTAAACGTTTTTGATTCATTCTATTCATCCAGAATTATCTTTGGACGTGAATAATCGTTCGAATGAATTGTCTCGAAGTAGATTTCGTTTATTTTATTTTATTCTTTTTTTTTTCAAATCATTATCGTCAATTTTCTTAAAATTTCTTTCTTCATCTTTTTCACACTCATTGAGAAAACTGAGCTATATAACAAACAACTTTATTCGCGTGCCATGAAAATAGCTATGAACTTTCTCGCTTCTGTGTTCTTAGTGCTCGGATTTCTGTTATTTTACGAGAGTTTCCTCTCTCGTGCAAGCGGAACCCCGTAATTATCCTAATAACGCTAAATCTCGTAAACTGAATTAAACTGCTTAAGATATTCGCGATTAAATCGTTTCGATCCACTCTCGACCACGATTTATCCTTTAATTGCAATTCACCAAATGATTCGCGAATAAATGTTACATTTCAACAAGATTTTAATTAGAAATCCTTCCAACCAAATTGTTTTATATGTATCAATCTCTTCCCAAAATTTGTATATATCAAAGATTTTTAAATTGTTAACATAATGTTACATCCTGTGTCGTAATAAAGAGTGTGATCAACTTTTGGTCAAGCTGTGAAGCCTTTATCTAGGAAATGACCTAAAGAATTGTTAGTGTGTTAATGAATGATGAGGTTTGAATGGGTGAAAACTTGAGGGATAGGAAAGTATTTACAGTAGGAAATTTGTTAAATTTGTGTTACAGTAGTGACGAAAAATTAAAAATTATTAATGAAATTTTCAAATTCAACGTATATTTAAGTATTAGAAATATATATTTTTTTTGCATTATTTTAATTATCTTTTTTTTCTCTTTCTCTCTCTCTCTCTCTTTATTTCTTCAACTTTTACTGAATTAATCTAGATTAAGCGTACAGAGACCAATGCTTGTCATTCCACGAGACACTCGTACGAAATTGCATTTCTTTTCTTTCCCGTGTCTCCTCTTTCTGCATTTTCCAGAGTAGAGGAAATCTCCTTCTTTGGTAGAGGACGATAGAAACGGGGAACACATCGTTAGCCGGAAATTACAACGAGCCTTTTCCCCTTCAGCTCGGTTTTCCAAGAGAACTTCTCGTGCTTCTCTTCGTTGGTAGCTTAAAAAAAAAAAAAATTAAACCTCCTAAAAAGAAAAGAAAAGAAAAGAAAGTTCGTGGCTCGAAAAATAAAATGAGAAATAGAGAGAGAGAGAGAGAGAGAGAGAGAGAGAGAGAAAGTAGACTGGTGCTAATTGTCGAAAGAAAATAAGAAGAAAAAAGGAAACTTGTATGTTTGTAATCCTTGACTATTTCTTAAATAAAAATAAAAATAAGAGAAAAGAAAAAAATATATAGGGAAAACAACAAAAAATAGCAGATGAATTGCCAAAAGAGATATACGTCGACGATATTGAAGTGTTAGATTTGTTAAAGAAAAATAAAATAAAAAATACCAACGTTGATTTCCCAAGGTGATATTTCACTCTGTAATTAACTATTAACTACCAACAGCATATAGTTGCTTTGAAAAAAAGAAGATAGAAACTAGACGCGAATATCTACGTATTCATACGAAGTTCACATACACATACAATATATTTACACACACACATATATATATATATATATATATATATATATATATATATATATATATATATATATAAAATACATAGGAACGAATTTCTCTAGAAAATAACAGAAAAGGAAAAAGAGTAGTATAAAGTGGTACATGATCTCGTTTCGATCAAACGGCAGCGGTGTAAAAAGGTGAAAGAAATAAGTGTAATATAACTAGAAGAGTAAAATAGAGAACCAAAGAGAAAAGAGAAAGAGAGAGAGAGAGAGAGAGAGGAAGAGGGGATGGAGAAAAGTGAAATGAAAGGGAAGAGGTGTTAGGTGATGAGAGGAGTGTAAAAGTTTTTCCGTTGACGTTTTGCGATGAAATTGACGTCCTCTACTTCGAAGAAGAAAAAGAAAAAAAGTTTATCTTACCGTCCGATTGGTGAGTGTAAGTGCTCAATATAGTGATAGTTAGTAATAGTAGTAGTAATAGTGGTTGTTGTAGTTGTTGTTGTGTGGTAGTAATGGTGGTATACAGTAAAAAGTTGTCATGTATATTGGAAAGAGATGAAAACTCCTTTCTCTCTTCGTCGAGACGAGAAGTAATTCGAGTAGTTCGAACCTTCAAAAGAAAGAGAAAGAGAAAAAGTTATGTCATAACATCGTTGGTGGTGATGCTGGTAGTGGTAGGGTATTATTTTTTATGCATCTTCGATGACAGCCATAAACTCGTCAGAAGCGAATCTTGAGAAAGAAAGTTGAAGAGTTTTCTAAGATATAAAAGAAGTTTTTCTATCGAAGTATCCTCAAACATTCCTCTTACCATTCTATCTTTCCTTCCTTCCTTCCTTCCTTCCTTGCTTCCTTTCTTTCTTACTTCTTTTACTTTATTTTATTCCTCTTTTTGCCTATCTTTCTCTCTTTTTCTCAATCGTCAAATATAACGATATTTTATCGACACATCAAAACCTATTTATACTACCCACCGCAACTACTGCTATTACTGCTATTAGTAATATTACACTATTATAACTTTTTCACTTAATGTTCGTTTCAACTTTTACATCGAAAGCAATAGTTAAAATTATAACTTATAGTTCGATTTAAGTTTATCGATTAAAAGACATGAGAAGTACATAGAAAAATAATTTAAACGATTTTTTATAAGAGAAAGTGTCCTTCATTTAAATTCATTTTTTTTCTCCTTCCTTCTGATATTCATGGAAATGAAAAGAAAGGGAAACAAACGGTATATAACTATTTTCTAAGTAGTACAAGTCAAGCATTTTTACGTGGTCAAACATATTTTTTTACATTACAGTTTCGTTTTAATATTATATTCAGGAATTATTATATAACATTCTGTTTTTAATAATAGAAAAATATTTCTACTATTGTTGCGATTATTATTAATTATTAATTTAAATAATTGAA